AGAGTCTTGCTCTGTACCCCAGGCTAGAATGTACTGGCAAGGTCATAGCTCACTCCAGCCTCAACCTCCTGGGCTCGGGACCATAGGTGTATGCCACAGTGCCAAGGTTTTTTGTTGTTGTTTTTTTTTTTTTTTTTAAGTTTTTGAAGAGATGAGGATCTCCTGATGTTGCCCAGTCTGGTCTCAAATCTCCTGGACGAAAGTGATCCTCCCACCTTGGCCTCCCGAGTCTGGGATTACAGGCATGAGCCACCATGCCCTGCCTGAAGTCCCATATTCATGTCTCTGGGCCTGATAAATTCTGCATACTTCACAAAGCTCGAAGTGCTCTGGCCTATTTTTATTTTTCTCACTCTTTTAGTGAGAAGTGAGCTTCTGGCTCCTTCTCACTAAAGAAGGAAAAGGGCACATCCTGTTCAGGAAAGTGCCAAGTTGGGACTCAATACTCATTTTGAAGGATTTGGAACAATGATGTGATTCTTCCTTTTTTTTTTTTTTTTTTTTTTAAGGTAGGATCTCACTATGTTGTCCAGGCTGGACTCAAATTCCCAGGCTCAAATGATCCTCCTACCTCAGTGTCCCTTGTAGGCTGAGCCTGCAGGCAAGCATGCATCACCATGCCCAGTTTGATCCTTCCATTCTTTTTTTTTTTCTTTCTTTCTTTCTTTCTTTTTTTTTGGGGGGGGGGGGATAGGTTCTCATTCTCTCAACCAGCCTGGAGTGCAGAGGTACCATCATCACTCACTACAGCCTCAAACTCCCAGGTTCAAGTGATCCTCCTGCCTCAGGATCCCAGGTAGCTGGAACGACAGGCACATGCCGCCATGCCCAGCTAATTTTTAAAAATGTTTTTTGTAGAAACGAGCGTCTCACTATGTTGCCCGAGGTGGTCTGGAACTCCCAGCTTCAAGTGATACTTCCATCTTGGCCTTCCAAATTTCTGCAAGCATCTGCCAGTGCACTAAGCCTGATTCTCCATTCTTTTATTTTTATTTTTATTTTTATTTTGAGATGGAGTCTTGCTCTCATCCAGGCTGGAGTGCAATGATGTGAGCTCAGCTCACTGCAACCTCCACCTCCCAGGTTCAAGCAATTCTCCTGCCTCGGCCGCCCAAGTAGCTGGGATTAGAGGCACCCACAACCACATCCAGCTAATTTTTGTATTTTTAGTAGAGATGGGGTTTCACCATGTTGGCCAGACTGGGCTTAAACTCCAGACCACAAGTGATCTGCCCACCTTAGCCTCCCAAAGTGCTGGGATTACAGGCATGAGCCACCATGCCCGGCCTGATTCATCCATTCTTAAAGATAATCTTTACTTTCTTGAATATCCACTGTGTATTCACTACTGGGAAAAGTACAAGAGGAGACACGCAGGCTTACCCCCAGCTCATCACCAGAATCCAGCACCCCATTCTGGCATCTCCCTAGAGGGTGGTCAAGCGGGCCCTTAACTTTCCCTCCTGAGAGAAGAGCAGAGAAGAGAGAGGGAGCTCCCCTACTGGGATAGGACACATGGGGTTCAGGGGTTGGGCCTTTTCTATGGGCTTTGGGGGCCTCTGAACAGTGCAATCAGGTCTGCCCTTAGGAGGATGCTTTGGTGCAAGGAGGAGGGGCAGGGAGGGAGTTCTGCAGAGAGCCAGGGAAACCAGAGGAGGCCACTGCCCCCCTGCCCCTTCTCCCCAGGAGGGTGAATCCTTTTGTATTAGTCAGCTCCAGGCACCATAAAAAAAATACCATCGACTGAGCAGCTTAAACCACAGACATTTATTTCCTCTCTTCCTGGCTTGCGCACAGCCACCTTTTCACCATGTCCTCCCACAAGGTTGGGGAGGTGGCACTCAAGCTCTCTGGTCTCTTATAAGGACGTCAATCCTACTGGCAAGGCCCACCCTTAAAGCCTCACTTAACCTTCATCATCTCCTTATAGGCCCTGGCCCCAAATACAGTCACACTGGGGATTAGAGCTTCAGCATCTAATTTTGAGGGGGACACCATTCAGTCCATAGCCCTCCCCTTCCTCAGGGCTCCAGCCACATTGTGCCCAGAGCTCAGCCGTAGCCTGCATCACACAGCGCTCTTCAGTGCAGTCATGCGTTGCTTAATAACTAGAATACATTCTCGGAAATGCATTATCCAGTGATTTTGTTGATGTGAGAACATCACAGAGTGTGCTTAGAACAACCTAGATGGTGCAGCCTACTGCACACCCAGGCCACATGGTACAGCATATTGCCCCTCGGCTACAGACATGTACAGTAAGGATTTGTGTATCTCAACACAGAAAAGCGACCGGAAAAATATGGTAATCTTATGGGACCACTGTTGTATATGCTCTCTGTCTTTGATCAAAACATCATTAGATGCCATGTGACTGCAATATTTGCTTTTCTTTCTTTTTTTTTTTTTTTTTTGAGACAGACTCACTCTGTTGCTGGGCACCAGGCTGGAGTGCAGTGGCACAATCTCGGCTCACTGCAACCTCCGCCTCCTGGGTTCAAACAATTCTCCTGCCTCAGCCTCCCGAGCAGCTGGGACTATAGGTGCACGCCACCATGCCCAGCTAATTTTTGTATTTTTAGTAAAGACCGGGTTTCACCATGTTGGCCAGGATGGTCTCGATCTCTTGACCTCGTGATCCACCCGCCTCGGCCTCCCAAAGTGCTGGGATTACAGGCTTGAGCCACTGTGCCCGGCCAATATTTGTTTTTCTGATTATAAAAGTAACACATTTTTACCGTAGAAAGTATGGAAAATCTAAAATCAAAAAGAATGTAAAATCATCTATAAATCCACAGCCTAGAGATAAACATTATTAATATTTCAGTGGTGCTTTTTTGGTCTTTTTCTCTTGTGTGTATATATTCATACATTTTTTTTTTTTAGACAGAGTCTCACTCTGTAACCCAGGCTTGAGTACAGTGATGCAATCTCTGCTCACTGCAACCTCTGCCTCCCAGGTTCAAGTGATTTTTGTCCCTCAGCCTCCTGAGTAGCTACATCATATTCATACTTTTTTTTTTTTTTTTTGAGATGGAGTTTCACTCTCGTTACCCAGACTGGAGTGCAATAGCACAGTCTTGGCTCACTGCAACCTCCACCTCTCAGGTTCAAGTGATTCTCCTGCCTCAGCCTCCTGAGTGGCTGGGACTACAGGCTTGCGCCACCATACCCAGTTAATTTTTGTATTTTTAATAGAGACAGGGTTTCACCATGTTAGTCAGGCTAGTCTTGAACTCCTGACCCCAGGTGATCCACCCACCTCAGCCTCCCAAAGTGCTGGGATTACAGGTGTGAGCCACCACACCCAGTCTATATCCATACTTTTAAAAATACCACTAGGCTCAACCAGTATGATATTTTTAACAGCTTTCTTGAGATATAATTCACATACCATACAAATCACCCATTTAAAATGTAAAATTGAGTGGTTTTTAGCATGTTCATAGACTTGCACATCACTACAATCAAGTTTAGAACATTTTTATCACTCCCCCCCCCCGCAAAGAAATCCATATCCTTTAGCTGTCAACCTCCAATCCCTCTATTTCTCTATGCCTAGGCAACCTATAATCTGCTTTCTGCCTTTATCGATTTGCCTATTCCAGATGTTTCATATAAATGCAATCATACAACATGTGGGCTTGTGACTGGCTTCTCTCATTTAGCATCATGTTTTCAAGTTTCATCCATTTTTAGCATATTTCAGTACTTTTCCTTGTTTTCAAAACAGTTTTATTGAGATGTCATTCACATCCTGTACTGCTCCCCCATGAATAAAAGTGTATCATTCAATTGCCTTTAGAATATGCACAATTACGTGGCCATCACCACAATACATTTTAGAACCTTTTTATCACCTCAAATTCCTTTTTATTGCCAAATAATATTCCATTGTATGGATATACCACATTGTATTTATCCACTGGTGGGCATTTTCACTCTTAGAATATTATAAAGAATGCTGCTATGGATATTCATGTACAAATTCTTATGGGGACATATGTTTTCATTTCTCTTGAGTATATACCTAGGAATGGAATTAACGGGTTATGTGGTAATTCTATGATTAAGCTTTTGAGGAACTGTCAGATAAACCAAGTGACTTATTTACTTATTTTTAAAAACAGGGCCTTATTGTATGGCCCCTTATTGTATGATCTCCTACTCCTGAGCTCAAACAGTTCTACATCAGCCTCTCTGAATGGCTGGCTAGCTGGGACTACAGGCACATGCCACTGCGCCCAGCTGCCAAATGATTTTTTTCCTCCCAATTTTCTCACTTAACATTAATCATGTGTATTTTCATGAATTTTTAAGTGTTCTTTGAATATGTGGCTTTTAACATTTAACTCCAAATTTGAGTTGGCCAATCCCCTGTTATTGGGGATACTTCCAATTTTCATTATGATAAACAGCATTTCCATGAGCATTTTTTTTTTTTTTGAGACGGAGTTTCACTCTTGTTACCCAGGCTAGAGTGCAATGGCACAACCTCAGCTCACCGCAACCTCCACCTCCCGGGTTCAAGCAATACTCCTGCCTCAGCCTCCCAAGTAGTTGAGATTACAAGCATGCGCCACCACACCTGGCTAATTTTGTATTTTTAGTAGAGACGGGGTTTCTCCATGTTGGTCAGGCTGGTCTCGAACTCCTGACCTCAGGTGGTTTGCCCAACTCGGCCTCTCAACATGCTGGAATTACAGGCGTGAGCTGCCATACCCAGTCTTTTTTTTTTCTTTTTCTTTTTTCTTTCTTTTTTTTTTTTTTTAGACAGAGTTTTGCTCGTTGCCCAGGCTAGAGTGCAATATCATGATCTCCATTCACTGCAATCTCCACCTCCAGGGTTCAAGCGATTCTCCTGCCTCAGCCTCCCAAGTAGCTGGGATTACAGGTAAGTGTCACCACGCCTGGCTAATTTTGTATTTTTAGTAGAGACGAGGTTTCACCATGTTGGTCAGGCTGGTCTCGAACTCCTGACCCCAAGTGATCCACCCACCTTGGCTCCCCAAAGTGCTAGGATTATGGGTGTGACCCACTGCACCCAGTGCCATGAGCATCTTGAGGCATCAATCTTGTATGATCCCTGGTTATTTGTCTAGAGCACATTAGTCAAATGATTGGATCAAAGGGCACAGGCAGTTTTAAGGCTCTCGGTGCATAATGATAAACTGCCTTCCAAAAAGGCTGTGCCTGTTCGCATTCTCAAAATAGAATGTGCACTCCTCCTGTCATAGTTTCCTGAAGTCACCAGAATATGAACATGGGGAGGGCAGGGACTTGCTTGGGCATCTCAGATATCATGCCCATCTGAATATGCCGCACATAGTAGGGGTTTGTGTGACATGAATGAGTGATAACACAGGAAGGCCCAGATGAGTGCAAGGTCCGTGGAGCACAAGGGAGGAGGGTACAGGTGTGTGAGTCGGCGTGAAGGCCAGCTCAATAGCACACAGCTGACATGGGGACTCAGTGCAGACACAAGTGGTAACAAGGCCTCGGGAGTCAAAGAGCTTCTGACCCTGGAGGTCAAAGCAGCTGATTGGAGATGAGGAAGCCACACTCCAGGGTCACTTAGGGACAGATACCGGCAGGGCTGGTCTGAAGACTGGCAGCAACTCCTTCTTATAGTCTACTTTGCGAGCACCCGTTTTTATGCAGAGCGCTGGAAGAATGCTCCTCACTGAGTTAGCAAGGTCATCAAACTCTGTGTTCACCTGGATATCCTGAAGAGAAACCCATGACAAGGATGAACTTTGTTACTGAGAACTTGACCATTTTTTATTCACACACACAAGGTCTCAGAGAAGCTCCTTCGGGCGGTTTCTCTCCTGTGGATGACAATCTCACACTTGCAAACTCGTAAGATCCAGGAGGGAAGGGGACAATGGGGAACATTTCGGGGGTTGCTGTATTTATTTATTTAGAGATGGGATGGTATTCTGTCACCAGGCTGGAGTGCAGTGGCTCAATCATAGCTCCTTTCATCCCTGAGCTCTTGGACTCAAGCTATCCTCTCTCTCTTAAGCCTCCAGAAGGGCAGGGTCTACAGGTGCCCACCACCATGCCCAGCTATGCTGTATTTTCAGATCTGGGGGCTGGTTACGTAGACACCCATGCTCTTTGTGAAAATTCTCCAAGCTCTATGTTTAATCTTTGTGCCTTTTTCAGCATAAATGTTGTTCCTCAATTAAAAACTAAAAACCTCCAGGCATGGTAGCTCACACCTGTAATCCCAGCACTTTTGGAGGCCAAGGTGGGTGAATCACGAGGTTGGGAGATCAAGACCATCTTGGGCAACATGATGAAACCCCATCGCTTCTAAAAATACAAAAAATTAGCCAGACGTGGTGGTGGGTGGAGGCTGAGGCAGGGGAATCATTTGAACGCGGGAGGTGGAGTTTGCAGCAAGCTGAGAGTGTGTCATTACACTTGAGCCTTGCAACAGAGCAAGACTCCATCTCAAAACAAACAAACAAACAAACAAACAAAAACTAAAATCCAAGGGGTAGTGAAGAACAAAACTGGCACTGATTGAGTATTTCTCTGTGCGAGCCCTTTCCCTTAGGTCTGTCATCTCAGCTTATGTTCATGATGGCCCTGAGGGGTAGACGTTAGCCCCATTTCACAAAAACACAAGTCTGAGCCCGGGGAAAGATTTTCCTTGAACTGTAAGTCTTCAAAACTATTTCCCAGAAAGCTCAGGATAAAACCTGGGCTAGTCAAATTATACTAGTAATAACAGACAACAGTTAAGGAATAGAAAATAGAATATTCAGTTCAGGCTAATTGTTTTCTTTGTTGTTTTGGTGGGGTTTTTTGTTTTGTTTTGTTTTGTTTTTTTGAGACAGAGCCTCGCTCTGTTGCCCAGGCTGGAGTGCAGTGGCATGATCTCGGCTCACTGCAACTTCTGCCTTCCAGTTCAAGCAATTCTCCTGCCTCAGCCTCCTGAGTAGCCAGGATTACAGGCACAGACCATCACGTCTGGCTAACTTTTGTATTTTTTGTACAGACAGGGTTTCACCATGATTTCGAACTGCGGACCTCAGGTGATCTGCCTGCCTCAGCCTCCCAGAGTTCTGGGATTACAAGCATGAGCCACCATGCCCAGCCCAGGATAGTTATTGATTGATTGTTTTTGATTCTTTGACTTAAAATCTTGTCCAGGATCCCACATTGATAGACACAGGATTTGGTCCCAAGCCTGAACTGATTCCAAAGCCCATGGCAATTCCATTGGACTAGGGGCTTCGGATGATGACTATACAGTGTGTCAAGTAAGTGTATATTCTAGAAGGATAACGCCATATGTCATTCTATTTCTTTTAGAATGACACATCCAGTGCTGACAGGAATTCACAGAGTAGCAGGCACATGGGTAAGGCAAGAACAGGCAGTTAGAAGGAAATAGTAAAGGTGTTTGATACTGGTTGTCCCAAACCTGAAGAATTGGAACTGCACACACAGAGTTCCTTCCTAATTTCTGGAAAGGCTTTGACTCAAATCTGGGTTAAGAAAAATCAGAATCACTACTGATTTGTAACTCAACATTTTTTTTTTTTTTTTTTTTTTTTTTTGAGGTGGAGTCTTACTCTGTTACCCAGGCTGGAGTGCAGTGGTGAGATCTTGGCTCACTGTGACCTCTGCCTCCCAGGTTCAAGCAATTCTTCTACCTCAGCCTCCCAAGGAGCTCGGACTACAGGCGAGTGTCACCACACCTGGCTAATTTTTTTTTTTTTTTTTTTTTTTTTTTTTTTTTTTTTTTGTAGAGACAGGGTTTCGCTGTGTTAGCCAGAATGGTCTTGATCTCCTGACCTCATAATCCACCCACCTCAGCCTCCCAAAGTGCCGGGATTAGAGGTGTGAGCCACCACGCCTGGCTTGTAACTCAACGTTTTTTGTTTCCTGTCTTTTTGTTTTTTGTTTTTTGTTTTTTGTTTTGTTTCGTTTTTTAGAGACAGTCTGGCTCTGTTGCCCAGGCTGGAATGCAGTAGCACAATCATAGCTCGCGGGGGCCACAAACTCTTAGGATCAGGTAATCCTCCTGCTTCAGTCTTCTGAGTACCTGAAACTACAGGTGTATGCCACATGCTGGGCTAATTTTTTAAAAAGCTTTTTGTAGAGATTGGGATTTTGCTGTGCTGCCCAGGATGGCCTTTAACTCTGGGCTTCAAGGGATCCTTCTACCTCAGCCTCCAAATGTGCTGAGATTATAGGTGTGAGCCACCTCACCTGGCATTTTTTCTACATTAAAAAGTCCAAATTCGCTGGGTGCAATGGCTCACACCTGTAATCCCAGCACTTTAGGAGGCTGACGCAGGTGGATCACTTGAGGTCAGGAGTTTGAGACCAGCCTGGCCAACCTGGTGAAACCCCGTCTCTACTAAAAAAAAAAAAAAAAATTTAGCCAGGCGTGGTGGTGCACACCTGTAATCCTGGCTGCTTAGGAGGCTGGGGTAAGAGAATCATCTGAACCTGGAAGCTGGAAGTTGCAGTGAGCTGAGATAGTGCCACTGTACTCCATCCTGGGTGACCAAGTGATACGGTCTCAAAAAAAAAAAAAAATCAAAATTGACTTGAGACAGGAGAGACCATGGCACAAGGATCACTTGAGTTCAGAAATTTGAAACCAGCCTGGGCAATGTAGCAAGGCTCCATCTCTACAAAAAAAAAAAAAAAAAAAAAATAGCCAGGTATGGTGACCGGTACCTGTACTTCCAGCTACCTCAGGAGCTTAGGCAGGAGGACCACTTGAGCCAAGGCATTTGAGACTGCACTGAGCTATGATCACACCACTGCACTGCAGCTGGGTCAAAGAGTGAGACCGCAACTCAGAAAAAGTGGCAAAATTGAATGAAAGGGATCCTAATCTCTCTCACAGGCACTCAAGTGAAGCTTCCAGCACCACAGTCCACCTGCAGACAGTCGGGGGAGGGGGCAGAGGCAGCCCTGCAGGTGCTGCGCCTGCAAATCTAAACACCAGTGGACAGGGAGCATCGTGACCAGACACCCACTTATCCTCTCTCAGCTAATGAAGAACCCAGGCAGTGGCTCCAGGCGAGATTCCGCGGGACCTCCAGTCCAGAGCGGGCAGAGCCGTGTGGCCCCATGCCCTGCATGCAGGTCCCTGTTGCAACTCTGCCTCTCCCACGCCGTGTATCTGGGCAGGGCTCTTGATTTCTCTAACCCTTACTTTGTTCCTCTGAAATGGAGATTATGATACCTCACGGGAATGTTGGTAGGATCCGAAACAAGGTTTATAAAATGCTCTTACAGAGAAATCCAGCAGTTCCAGGGCAGAGGCTGGATTGTCCTGGACAGACTTGAGGAGACCAGAGCAGCCTTCACTTCGCATGGGATTCCTGGACACCTGAGAAACACACACACAAAGCTGCGAGAGGCCAGGTCCAGGGAAGCCTGAGAGCAACGTGAAAGGGAAGCAGGGGCGGAGGGAGGGTCTCCTCATCTCTGGGGACATAGCTAGGATGGCCCCACTGTCTCAGCTCAGAAGGTGTCTCCGTCGAGACAGTCAGACAGAATGCTCTGGTGAGGCTGTGGGGCCGGGAGAGAGAGGAAAGGAGATGCCTCTGACTGATACAGGCATGCAAAACAAACCTTTGCCTTTAAGAAATTGCCGGCTCAATAGAGGGGAAGGAAAGGAAGCATCATGAAATGAGGTGTGATCAGCACAGTGAGCGGGTGTGCTCCAGCTCCCCTGGGAGGGAAAGGCTGGGAGGGAAGGAAACCCTTGAGCTGATTCCCAAGTGAGGTGGGCGAAGCTGGACACTTCAGCAAGAACAGCAGAGGAGCAAAGGATGGGGTGAAAAATAGTACTCTGTGTGTGTGTGTGTGTGTGTGTGTGTACTCTGAGCTTGGGGTGAGCGCACTGAACTTGGAAGAGAGGGGCTAGCAGGGCCCAGATCCCCCATGACATGCTATGTTACTTTTTTTTTTTTTTTTTTTGAGACAAAGTATTGCTCTGTGGCCCAGACTGAAGTGCAGTGGTGAGATCTCAGGTCAGTGAAACCTCCACCTCCTGGGTTCAGAGGATTCTCCTGACTCAGCCTCCCGAGTAGCTGAGATTACAGGTGTGCACCACCACGTCTGACTAATTTTTTGTGTTTTTGGTAGAGACAGGGTTTCACCATGTTGGCCGGTCTGGGCTCAAACTCCTGACCTCAGGTGATCTGCCTGCCTCAGTCTCCCGAAGTGCTGGGATTATTGACGTGAACCACCACACCCAGCTCACCATGACACGATGCTGCAATCGAAGACTGAGTTTATCCAGAGGGGATAAAACTCCAACCATTTTAAAGCGGGGCAATTTTCTGGTTTAGAAAGGTCGCAGCTGGGAAGGAAGGGGTAGCAGGTGGGAAGGAAGGAGTGTAGCCAGGAACCCTGCAAATTCACAGAAGCTGAGAGGGGAAGTGAGAAGAGGGAGGAGCCAGGAGGGGGAGCTCCTGCAGGAGGTGGGAGTGAGGGTGCGGGAAAGGGAGGGGTATTGGGCAGGCTCTGGGCCCCACCTAGTGACTTGGGAAGAAGGAGCCCCCACCAGGAGGCAGCCCTTAGAGCGGGGTGAAATGTTCAGGTTGGACTGTCAAATTGACTTTGAGACATTCAGAAGACTGTCTATAAGGCAGCTGGAAACACAGGTCTATGCTGCAGAGAGGTCCTGGTTCCTGTGGGGCAGGGAGCAAGGGAGGAGAGCTATGGCAGAAGCCCAGGGAAAGCTGGGGTAGGGAGCTGAGGGATGGCAGAGCTGGTTGTCTGCACTCAGCTGGCGATACTGTCCCTTAGCACGTACCTGATGTGGGCACAGTGGTCCCCTGGGGACCTGCTCCCGCCTCGCCTGGCTCCCTTCCCTGTCTTATCTTCTGCTCCCTGTCCTGCTTAGCACTCCCTCCCCATCTGCCTAGGAAGGAACCCCACCTGGGTGCACCAGGCCTCAGTTCAGCCTGAGCAGTGGCCAACAGAACACCTGGGTGGGGCCGGGGTCCCAGCAAGGCCAGGGAAAGGCAGGGAAGAAGATGAGGGAGACACAAGGGGTGCCCAGCCACCTTCAGAGCAGCACCCCAGCCGGCAGAGGAGGAAGGGCAGCAAGAAGGTGTAGGGGAGAGGCTGGGAGGGAAGGAAGGGGAGAGGAGGAGGGCCAGGCCCCAGGTGCAGGGTGAGCGGCAAGGGAGGGAGCCTGTGTGCACCTGCTGGCTGCCCCTGTGGGGGCCACGACGCAGGGATCTGTGTGGGCTGCTACAGGGCCCGTCTATGCTGAGGTCTTGGCCATCAGGCTAGCACTCACTACCAGAATCCTCAGTGTCTGGTTGACCTGGAGGCCCAGGCCCAGGCTCAGGGCTCCCGTCGCAGAGACGCGGTTGTTGCTGCAGCAAAGACAACAGACACCTGCGTTGTGCAAGCTTCCCAGCAGCTGTGCAGAGCCCACTGCCCCGGGTGCCCACTGGAGCTGCCACTGCAGCCACCAGGTTGGGTCTCTTGTTCCAGCCCTCCACTCACACCCCGGGAACCCTGGGCAGGTCAACGTGTAAAAGGTGGAGATGACACCGTTCAGAGGGATCACGCAGCAAACACGCCTACCACGTCCCTGTCCTGGTGGACACCAGCTGCTGCTCCCTGACCCTCTGTGAGCTCTGCAGGGGCTCCCATGTGCTCTGCCCAGCTGGCACCTCATGTCTATCACCATGACAATGTCTATTTAAAAAAAAAATCACCTAGCTTCTGTCCAAGGCCTCTCTACCTCCTGCTGTTCCCGAACTCCAGGCCTCAGCACCGCCCTGGGCCACTCTGTCTCTAGAGCCAGTCCCATTTCTCTTTCACTTCTCAGACCCCAGCTCCGGCTGTTACCTCCCGTTTCAGCCCCTGTGGCTGCTCCTAGCCTTAGCTCCTCCCATGGGAGGAAAGTTGAGCAGGATTGAGAGAGGCCTCCTTGCCCACAGAGGGGCTGCCCCTGGGGAGGGTCTCAGCCACAGCAGCCCATGACCTTCTCGGCCTCTGGCCCATGACCTCTCTGGCATCCACCTCTTTTCTTCCCTCTGGGCTTGTGCCACACCACTAGGCTGGGACTCCACCTGGCCTGAAGGAGCCCCTCACACAGGGCATGCTCCAGTAGCCACGTGCTGAGCAAAACAGGCACCGGGGCCCACCTGTGAGGGTCCTGCCTCGCTCCATCCAGACTAGGCTCATTTTTCTTGCTCTGTCACTCAGGATCAGTGCAGTGGCATGACGACAGCTCACTGCAGCCTGAACTCCGGACTCCTAGGATCAAGCAATCCTCTCACCTCCACCTCCCAAGTACTAGGAATGACAGGTGCATGCCACCAGAAATGGACAGTTTTTACATTTTGTGTAGAGATGGAGTCACGCCATGTTGCCTAGCCTGGTATCAAAATCCTGTCCTCAATGGATCCTCCCACCACAGCCTTTGGAAGTGCTAGGATTACGGTGTTGAGCCACAGAACCTGGCCTTAGCTCCTCTTCTACAAGCGAGAAAAGCTTCGCTGGAACACCCGCCATGCACCAGGCTCTGCCAAAGATGCTTTATACACCGTGTGGAATTTGCAGCCATCTGCCTGTGCATAGGAATCACAGGTTACTATGTAACAATGATGAACTCCCCATGACTGTAATTTCAGCACTTTCAGAGACTGAGGTGGGAAGACTGCTTGAGCCCGAGAGTTCGAGGCCAGCAGGAGACTGTCTACAAAAAATAAAAAATTAGCCAGCCTTGGTGACATACTCCTGTGGTCCCAGCTACTTGGGAGGATGAGGTGGCAGGATTGTTTGAGCCTGGGAGGTCAAGGGTACAGTGAGCCATAATCTCATCACTGCACTCCAGCCTGGGCAATAAAGCAAGACTGTTTTAAACAGACAAATAAACTCCAGTGATAGGAGGATGGAGAGCCGGGTGCAGTGGCTCACACCTGTAATCCCAGCACTTTGAGAGGCAAGGCAGGTGGATCGTGAGGTCAGGAGTTCAAGACCACCCTGGCCAAGATGGTGAAACTCCATCTATACTAAAAATGTAAAAAATTAGCCGGGCGCGGTGGCTCAAGCCTGTAATCCCAGCACTTTGGGAGGCCGAGGCGGGTGGATCACGAGGTCGAGAGATCGAGACCATCCTGGTCAACATGGTGAAACCCCGTCTCTACTAAAAGTGCAAAAAATTAGCTGGGCATGGTGGCACGTGCCTGTAATCCCAGCTACTCAGGAGGCTGAGGCAGGAGAATTGCCTGAGCCCAGGAGGCGGAGGTTGCGGTGAGCCGAGATCGCGCCATTGCACTCCAGCCTGGGTAACAAGGGCGAAACTCCGTCTCAAAAAAATAAAATAAAATAAAATAAAAAAATAAAAATAAAAATAAAATAAAATAAATGTAAAAAATTAGCCAGGCGTGGTGGCAGGCACCTATAATCCCAGCTACTTGGGAGGCTGAGGTAGAGAACTGCTTGAACCCTGGAGGTGAAGGCTGCAGTGAGCCAAGATCACGCCACTGCATGGTTCAGCAGCAAGATCATGGAGCGCGTGATTCCTGGGGTGGCCCCTTGGGGATCCTCACCTCATGTGGAGTTCCTCCAACACATTGTTGGTCTTGAGAGCCTCACCCACCGCAGAGGCTCCAGGATCTCCAAAGCCATTATATGAGATGTCTAGAACTTTAAGGAAGATGTTTGCCTAGAACACCAAAGAGTGAAATCAAGGGACTCTGCCTGACAGTGGAGCAAGCCACGGTGCCACAGCCTCAGAGACCAGGAGCCCCGAGGTGCAAAAATCAGGGACAAAGGGTAGAAGGGCAGAGGCTCCAAGGAAGGGTCAGGACAGTGCCATCCAGGTCCCCAGTGGCTGCAGCTTGGATGATGGTGGCCATCAGAGCCCAATGGCCCAGAACACAATAGGAAAGGGCCGGTGTAGATGGGAATGGCCCTCAGAGAGACTGGGAGGGGAGTGTGCGGAGCAGCAGCAGGCCCAGAAACATGCTCAGACTCCACACCCACTTAATGGCTCTGGAAGGCAGGGATCCCACGCCCCAGTAAACGGCTGTCAGATGAAACCCGCCCAGGGTACTGTGATGGGGAGAAGGGTGAAGCTCTGGCAAGACAGTGTGACGTGCCACCTTGTGGGCCGGGATCCCAAGGTCAGCCCCTGTATCAGGGCAAGACAGCAACTGCCATGGCCTGAGGAGGACTCCACAGGGCATCTGGCACTGGACACATTGCAGGTACCTTGTGCCACCCTAGCATCAGCTTGAGTCACCCATTCCCGAGCCCTATGAACCACAACATGCAAGGGAGCAGGTGGACGTTTGAGAGGCTGTGCTGGCATCCACAGGTGCAAGGCGTCATCTCAGGAAAGCACCTGTGTAAGCCCAACAGTGAGCATGCGTCACCGGACCGCATGGATGTCCCTTCCTAGCTGGTGTCTATGGTGTCTGGGGAAGGTACAAGACATTCAGGAAATGATGTGACAGTGAGCACAGCGTATTGTAGTCACTAAGTGAAGCCAGGAAAATTAAAATCCACCTAAAGAAACAATCTTTAAGCTGTGCTTAGAAGATCCAAAGTTCATTTCCAAAGAGCTGCAGAGACAGAGAGCTGGTCCCTGGGAGACCGGCCCCAGCAGACAGGCTGCAGGGCTGACTGGGTGGGGGCTCCGTACCTCCAGTCCTCTGGCAAATGCCACAGCTCCTGGGCCTCGGAGGTGATTCCAGCTCACGTTAAGCTCGGTGAGTCCTGTGTTTTCTGCCAGGGCTGGTCCAAGTATCTCCCCTTCAGAAACACCAAGAGAGACCTTGTGACTCACTCTCTTCACTCCATTAAAAGATCACACGGATGCCCGCTGTGTGCCGAGCCTCTGCTGGGCAGGAGGGTCACAGACATGAAACGAACATGGCCTGCCATGACCTTCAGGAACTCACATTTCATGGGGAGATACAAATCCAAATGAATGGGATGTGAGCCATTCATGTGGACTGCAAAGGGGGAGGCGTGGGAACAGAGTGGTGGCTAACCTGTCGTGGGGGTAGTCAGGAAAGAGGACAGAGGAGATAACCCGGGACTGAGGAATTCCCCACGGGCGTCTGTGCACACACAGTGGAGAGGAGGCACGGGGAAGTGCAAATGGCAGAGGCACCTGTGGAAATGCATGCAGGCCTGGAGCTGGGGCCGGGAAGGGGGAAGCCAGTGAAGTGAGGCAGGAGTAACGGGCACTTGAGAGATGCGGAGAGGCCTTGAATGCCAAGGTAAGGGGCTCAGGCAACGCGTACAAGTAGCAAGGAGTCAGGGAGGGCCTTAGGAAGTGATGAGGCTAGATTAGCATTTCAGCAAGTGGCAGGTGTCCAGGATAGACTGGGCTGGGTGGGAGCAGAGGCAAGAGGCTGGGGGACCAGGTGGAAGGCTGGTGCCATAGGCTGGCACAGTTGTGGTAGAGAGGAGATGGGCATGGTAGAGAAAGGAAGGTGAAAGCCAGGCAGTGGTATGTGCCTGTGGTCCCAGCAACTCAGGAGGCTGAGGCAAGAGGGTTTCTTGAGGCCAGGAGTTCAAGACCAGCCTGGGCAAAATACGGAGACCTGGAGATGAAGGTGGAGCAGCATAGCCAAACAGAACCTTCCAGCAGTCATCCCACAACCCTCACAGGAACAGCAAAAGAAACAGTCACAAGAAAGCACCTGCATAAAAACACAACCCAGCTGCACTCACAGTACCTGCTTTTAACATCCTCACAGGGAAATAGGCACTAAAGAGGGAAGAAAGTTAGGCTTTTCTGCTCTCTCACTCCGGTTCCCAACCTGGAGTGCAGTGGGGCAATCACGGCTCACTGCAGTCTTGATGTCTTGGGCTCAAGCGATTCTTTCACCTCGGCCTCCTGAGACTACAGGCACATGCCACAACTTGGGTCTAATTTTTACATTATTTTTTGTCACTACTGGGTCTCACTATGTTGCCCAGTTTGGTTTCAAACTACTGGCCCCAAGCAATCCTCCCACCTCAGGCTCCAGAAGTGTTGCTGGGATTACAGCTAGCCACAGTGCCCTATCAAGCCTCACTTTTAATTTCACTGACTTCTGGCAGTAATTTTCTTAGAAGGCAAACAGGTTCTCTGGAAGTTACATGCCATGGCCAATTCTCACAGGCCAAGGCTCGTGCCACCCCATTCCCTCTAAGATGCTTGAGACAGAGCAGTGCTTCTGAAACGTTGCAGAGAAGGCAGTTCTCCAGGGACATCCAACAAAGTGCAGATTCACAGGCATTCCCCTAACAACAGGTCCAGGCCCAGGATCTGTACGCCTAACCCAGGGTCCCAGGCGATTGTTACTATTACTGAACCATTTGAGCAGAGGCAGGTAAAAGTGCATATTCCTGGCAAAGCAAAGGCTCAGGGGCATGAGAGAGAGTGATGAGATGAAGGAATCCCAACCATGTCTGCTACCTCACTTGGAATAAAATCTTCACCCTTTTTGCCATGACCTACAGCGCTGCAGACCCCTCTGCCCTCTCCACCCTGCAGCCTGGACACGCTTTCCTGACTCCCCAGCCTAGTCACACTGCTGTCTGCCAGTCTGGGAAACAGGCCCACATGCTCACTATTCCTCTGCATGAAATGCTCTCCCTCTGATCTTGCCATGGCTGTTTATTTCCCACTCTGCACATTTCAGCTTAAATGTCACATCACAGAGGCCTCCCCAGCCACCTCTTTAAAGCAGGGAGTCCCTGTTCTTCTCCAGAAGCAGGCACTATTTGTTTCTTTTGCAGCATAATGACTGAGAATGATGTTGTTAGCATGTGCTCCTTGAGGTCAAGAACTTGGTTTTGTTCAAGGTGGATCCCCGGTGGCTGTCAGTGCCCAGCACATACAGCAGTGGGCAGTGAGGTATTTGTGGAAGGAATGAAGAGTTCCATGTGGCTGGAGTGGAAGGGGAGCGGGCCAAGGTGGCTGTGTGGGGAGCAGGAGTCAGAGCACATGCTCCCTGGCGATGTGCAGTGCGGTCCTGCCAAGCCCCACCCACCCCTGCCCCAGGAAGCTGAGCTTTCATGACCCATGGTGCCCTGGGCAGGTATTACCTGCTTGGTCATTCAGCTGGTTATAGCTCAGGTCCAGGGACTTCAGGTCTGTGTGGGCCAGCAGGAGTTCAGCAAGGTGCTGGGCCGCCTGCTCCTCCAGGCCATTCCCTGACAGTTGCATCTTCTGCACAGCCCGGTTCATGGTGAGGGCGGCACAGAGGGTCCGTGCTCCTGCTACTCCCAGCTGGTTCTCCGACAGGTCCAAATCTGGGGGACGAAACCACTCCTTTATCAGTGGGATACAAAGCCAGGCACCCACCTCCTACCTCTTCTGCTATCCCCTAAACCTCCAGGTCCGAGGCAGAGGAAGGGGCCTTACAGGAGAACTGTCCGAGCGTCGTATGGTGGCTGCGGCTCCCAATGGCTGGGTCCCTTCTGGCCTCTGACCTCCCCCTCCCTGTGTGCGCATGAGCTTCTGTGTCAAGCGGTTAAAACCGCCTACCTCCTGGTACTGTAGAGACGGCCATGGTGAAGGGGCAGCCATCACATTGATGACTGTGTCTGGTAGTGGTATCACCAGCCACTTCAAAAGCCTTCACTGCCCCACTGGCAGGATTGGCAGTAACAGCCCAGGTGGCCGTGCATGGAGCACGTACACTGCTGACCACTTCAGGAGTGCCTGTCACTTCATGCTCACCGCAGCCCCAAGCCTATAAGGTATTGTGGGGGGCATTTCACAGATTGGAAAGCCGAAGCTCAGAGAGGTTAAGCTGCTTGCCCAGGTATCCAGCTCTTCAGTGGCAGAGCTGGTATTTTGGATCCAGCCCCACCAAACTCCCATATTACCTACCTGCTTCTTACAATGCCCAACCCCCAGTCCCTGTGTGGATTCAGGTACTGAGAGTCTACCATGTGCTTGGTGAAGAGGGGATGCTGGCCAGCAAGGGAGGGTAGTAATGGGATGGAGTGGGTGAGGAAGGGACTTGTATCCAGCATTGTCTGCACAGCAGAGGGTCTAGCTCCACCCTTCATGCCCCTCCTGTGATGAGACCCCTCCTCTATTCACCAGCAACACCAGCAGGCCCCAGGTGACATGGCCCAGCTTTCGGGGTAGAGGCTCATCTCTGAGGAAAGGGAGCACTCACGCCTGCCCACCTGCCCCAGGCCCAGCACTTACCACAGATACTGCTGCTTTTGCTCAGGGCACCTGCCAGGGCCTCTGTACCCGCCCCACAGAGCCCATTGTCTCGAAGGTCCAGCCGCTTGACATATGGATTGGAGCTCAGCGAGGAAGCCAGGGCACGGGCACCCTGGGACAGACAGAGCAAACACACTGGCCACTATCCTGGCTCCTGTTCCAGGGCTCGGCTCATTCTGCATCCTCCACCTGGAAAGTCCTCCCCTTCCCACCTGCTTAAGGAACACTTGCATCTCCTTTTAGGCTCCGCCCAGGTCTCCTCCCCACCCCCAGCTCTCCCTGAGCCCCCAGCAGGTTAGGGGCCTGCAGGCTTTCCAACCCTTAACACCACCTGTCACAGCCTCAATCCCATCTGTCTCTCAGATGTGGGGGATGGGGCATTTCTGGCACAGGCAGAAGCTGGGGAGTGTGGGACAGACTCGGGAGCACTCCCATGGCTGCTGTCACCCGGGGCCTCTCCCTGGAAGCCTGGACCTAGTGTCTCTCCAGTGGTACCTGGGGCCCCAGGCCACGGTGCCGGAGGTTCAGCTCTGGGGCGCTCCCTTGACACAGAAAGCAGGAGACGGGCACAACACTATGGTCCTGGCAAGACCTCAGGTAGAGGGTGTCCCTGACCAGTTCTCCAAGCCCATGGGTGCCTGGTAGGTGACGGGGACAAATGTGAACCCCTGCATGGGTACAGCCACCTGCCTCCTCCCCTGCCCTGCGTCACTACCTGGCCTATGTTTTCCCTCCAGAAGCACTGCCTCCTCTGCTCCTTGGGACCACTGCCCCCCTATGACAGATGAGGACATCAAGGCTCAGGCAACACAAATCTTTTCCTTAGAGTCATACAGCTATGAAAGAAAGCTGGACAACCAGGGCACAACAGCCAAACAAAAAAGTATTTAAATTAGCTGATGTGGCGGCCCCTGTAGTCCCAGCTACTCAGGAGGCTGAGGCAGAAGCCTCACTGGAGTGCAGAGTTCAAGGCTACCATGAGCTATCATCCTGCACTGAAGCCTGGGTGACAAAGCAAGACGCTGACTCTAACAAATAAATAAATAAATAATTTATTTATTTATTATTAAATATGAGCCCAGGCAACCCAATGTTGCTGGTTGCTGTGGAAACCGTGGCTGGCCTGTGCTGAGAATCCCACAGCTAGTAGTAGCTAATCCTGCCAGAGTCAGGCCTCTGCCTGTCTGATGCCAAATTGCACGCTGTGTCTTTTAACCCGGATTGCAGACCACCAATGTTGTGTAAACATTTTACGGGAGAAAAAACTGAAATAGTTCTAAATTCTATTCATCTATTTGTTTGTTTGTTTGTTTTGACATGGAGTCTCGCTCTGTCGCCCAGGCTGGGGTGCAGTGGCACAACCTTGGCTCACTGCAACATCCGCCTCCCGGGTTCAAGCGATTTTCCTGCCTCGGCCTCCTGAGTACCTGGGACTACAGGCGCGCGCCACCACGCCCGGCTAATTTTTGTACTTTTAGTAGAGATGAGGTTTCACCATGTTGGCCAGGCTGGTCTTGAACTCCTGACCTTGTGATCCACCTGCCTCGGCCTCCCAAAGTGCTGGGATTACAGGCGTGAGCCACGGCACCCGACAAGTCTATACATCTATTAGCTTAGTTTTTCCTGTGGACTCGGAAAACGCAGCTCTGGTCCCATTTCAGGGCTGACAGTCTTTGGTGCACTGTCTGGCGGGATTTTGCATTTTAACCTACTGCTTCTGGGAACTCTGAAGAGAGAGCAGGGAGCTGGAGGCGCCCCGCAGAGGGCTACGTCTCCAGCTAGACAGGGGTCTACTGCCCCCTTGGCCCCAGCCCGCCTCCCTCCACCCCTGCGGGAGAAGACCCCCAAACGGGAGGAGTGAGGCCTGGCCCCTGCCCCTAGCACCTTCCATCTCCAGGTCGGAGTCTGAATCGGCCTCGGAACCCTGCTCCACCTCAGGGACCTCTGAAAGACGCCCACAGGCCGCTGTAGCCTCTTCCTTCTGCTCTTCATCCTCCCCAGATCTCTCGCAGGAACCCCTCATGGTTAAGACCCTTCCACAGTCTCAGATGCTGAAGCGGCTACCTCCTGGCGCCTCACCCAGAGCACGGCCCGGGGATTTGGGCGGAGTCTGCGGCTGCGCTGACCAATCGAATGTAGCGTCCATCGACTGGCGTCCACCAAGGCCAATAGCGATGCGCTCCACCGCGGCGGTCGCCGCGGCAACCCGGTGTTGTTGGTTGCCATAGAAACCGTGGCTGGCTTGCGCAGAGGCTCCCGGCCCTGGGAGATAATTGCCTGCTGCAGGGACCCTGGACCGCGTTAGGCGCTTTGCGGCGTTTATCTTCCCTGCCTCCCTAGGCGGTTCCAGCATCGCCCCCCTTTCACGGACTGGGAAACACGCCTGACTCCAGAGCTTGTGTTTTCCTCACTGCACTTGGGAACAGCGTTTCAGGAGGGCCCGGGGAACCTCGCAGAGCCAGGTCACCCCTCTCAGTTTGTGGCTCTTAGTTGTCTGGCATGCGCTGGCCTTTGCATACGCTGTTCGCCCCCCTGAGAACCTCCATCCCCATCTTTGTCTGCTTTTGAACTTCAGAATCTGCAAGTGTCAGCTCAGAGGTCACGTCTTCCTGATGCTTTCTTCAACACCCTCCCAGCCCCTCTGCTGCTGCCCTCCGGCCGTCCTCTCACGGCACTGATAACAGCTGTCCTTGCCAGAGGACAGAGGACAGGGACAGAGCTGCTGTTTTCTGTGTGCCAGGGCCCAGCAAAGGGAATGTAGGGAGGGTGGGAGGTGCAGGGCAGCTGGGGTTAGGGGCTGACGGCTGGGTGTTGGAGGCTGGATCCTGCTCTAGTGGAAGTGTCCCTTTAACAGCAGCCGCCTGGCCTGGCTTGGGCCCTGCTTTGCCTCCTGTTCAGCTGTGCCTGCAGCTGCCATGCTGACTCATGTGCCCGCAGCTAGCAGGAGCTGGCAGCATGGGCTCCCCAGGGGCCACGGTAGGCTGGGGGCTTCTGGATTATAAGACGGAGAAGTATGTGATGACCAGGAACTGGCGAGTGGGCGCCCTGCAGAGGCTGCTGCAGCTTGGGATCGTGATCTATGTGGTGGGGTAAGAGAGAAGAGCTTTGGCCAGGCTGGAGGGGCAGGGGAAGAGATAGGGGTGAGGCTTGGTCCTGCTGGGTTGAGGTTGAGGGTTGGGCTCTTTAGGGGCTGGAGGGGAGGGGGCCAGATTGGGATGGGGTGGGAGGTAGGTGATAGAAGACGGGAGAACAAGAACAAGCTGTGAGTTTGTCCTGTGTGCCCACCTGCCTCCTTCCCAGCCGCTCCCCAGAACCCCTCCCAGGGGGCACAGGACATTGTCCTTAACATCTGTGAGAGCTGGAGCACTAGGCCCCCAGAGAGACCACCAGCTGTAGCTCGGGTCAGGGGAGCTGGGTCTAGTGAGGCTGGGGGTGGTGCTGGCTGGTGAAGGTGATTGAGGGCACTGGCTCTCTGGTGCGTGGCTGGAGCTTCTGTCTTATTCAGGGGGTCTGGGGTGGGAAGTGAGGCCAGAGAGGAGGTGGGGACCTCAATGCTGGGCTGGGAGCCTATAGGGTGTGGGGAGAGAACTGAGCATGTGGGGCCCAGCTCTGCCCCTGTCACTACACGCTGGGGACACACCACACTGCCCATCTTCTCCTGTCCAGGTGGGCTCTCCTCACCAAAAAAGGCTACCAGGAGCGGGACCTGGACCCCCAGGTTTCCATCATCACCAAACTCAAAGGGGTTTCCGTGACTCAGATCAAGGAGCTTGGAAACCGGCTGTGGGATGTGGCTGACTTCGTGAAGCCGCCTCAGGTAGGGGCTCTGGTGCTGCTGACGAGAGTGCAAGTCCTTTGGCCACTGAGAGCTTGGACACCTGCCATGCAGCCAGTGTGTGCGAGAGAGAAGCATGTGATGCCAGAGCTGGCTGGGGCGGTGAGGGGGAGGGTCTCAGGAAGGGCTTCACAGAGGATTGGCACCTGGACAGGCTTTCAGGGATGTGTCAGAGGTTTTTCGATAGAAAAAGGGATGGATCGAGAAGCCAGACCAGAGAAACTGCACTTCCAGAGGCTGCCAACAAAAAAGAAGTGGGTGTCCAGGACTAATGGCTTGAGTGTGGTGTGGGAGGGGTGTCGGGGGCCAGAGCCTGGAACTTCCTGCGGCCCTGCTCCCTCACCTGGGGCACCATGCTCAGGCGCTCCTCCTCTGCTCTTCTTGGCTGCATTTCCCTCCTCCTTCTGGCCAGCTCATCCACAGCCTCAGCTTCCACCCCTGCTCTTCCAACACTCAGGATGTAGCCCCAGTGACCACTTGCCCAAAGCATAGCTGTCTTCCAGGTGCACACCCACGTGTCCAAAGATCAATTGTTTCCCTCTCCTGGCATGGCCTCTGTGACATCCACCAGTGCCTCAGCCAGACCCAGGACTCAGCCTCAGCCCCTTCCTGTCCCTTCTCACATTTTTCACTGCTGCCCATGCCATGCCTGCGTGAGTCTATGGCCTCCTAGAGGGCCCTTAGATGCCCTTCTCGCCCACTCCCTACTGCCCGGTGCACACCACGCAGCAGCCAGGCTAAGCTTTCACACCGGGCATCATCAGAGCCTGCAGCCCCTGATTCTACCCTCAGGAGGCCCCCTGCCAGTGATGGTTGCCACCCAGGCCTCCTAATCCTGATGGCTCCCACTCCCAGCACCCTCTGCACAGCCCTCACCTTCCCTTCCTGGGCATGCAGTCCGCAAATTCACAGTGCTCTCATGAGCAGCACTGGAGGGTCAGCCTCCCCTTCCAATGTCCTTGGCCATCCTTTGACCACAGGTAGCTTTCCGTCTTCTCACCTGTGCTCTGCCGCGCCAGTGCTGCCGTGTGTAGGGTGGGAGACTCACCTCCTTTCCATCCTGTGCAGATGCTGGGCCCAGCTCTCCCCTGGATCTTCAGTATTAAGAAGCAGCAGGCTGTTGGAATATTCTGGTTGAAGCCAGGTATGGTAGCTGGAGCCCGTAGTCCCAGCTACTTGGGAGGCTGAGGCAGGAGGATCTGTTGAGCCCAGGAGTTAGAGAATGCAGTAAGCGCTGATAACACCACTGCATTCAAGCCTGGACAGGTAAAATGAAATGCTGGGTGCCTGTAATCCCAGATACTTGGAAGGCTGAGGCAGGAAAATTCCTTGAACCCAGGAGGTGGAGGGTGCAGTGAACCAAGATTGTGCCATTGCACTCCAGCCGGGGTGACACAGTGAGACTCTGCCCCCCACCCCAAAAGAAGATATTTTGGTTGAGCAAATGAGAAAGAAACTTGTCTCGAGAGATGGATACAGGCATGAGGCTTCCTGGTCTCAGAAATGGCCAGAACCCCTGCTAGCCTCCCATCTCTGCTTCAATCTGCCTTACGGGGGGACAGCGTTAATGACTTGATGGGTCCAAGATCCCTTCCCTCATAAACCAGGCTGCCAGCTGCCAGCCTTTCCAGTCAATGAGAGCCCAGCCAGGCCAACCTTGAGGCTTGCCTCCTGGAGAGAGAATGTGTTCTTCTTTGTGACTAACTTCCCTGTGACGCCAGCCCAAGTTCAGGGCAGATGCTCAGAGGTGAGTTTGCCCAGGAGCCTCCCAGCGGCCCCTCGTTCCTCTGCCGGCCCTGGGTGGCCACCCGTGTTTCCCTTTCTCCTTCCCGGGTAGCTAAAGGCTCAGCACGTGCTTGGTGTTCCCCAGGCGCTGGGCTACATCTTTTCGCAAATCATTTCATTCAGTCTTCACATATCCCCTGCCTGGGAGGAATTCCTGTGATCCCCATTTCAGAGGCGAAGACTGAGGCTCAGTGAGTTTGACTCACTTTCCCAAGGCCTCCCAGCCTGTGGGTAACAGGACAGCCGTTCCCGTGAGGTGCCCAGCCCCTCCGCATCCTGGTCCTGCCTCTGGGTACTCTCCAGGTTGTTAGTGTGTTACCCAGAGCTGGGCACATGCTCAGGGAGACTCTAGTAGGAAGAACAAGCAGTGGCATGATCGTGGCTCTCTGCAGCCTCAAACTCCCAAGTGATCTTCCTACCTCAGCCTCTGGATTAGCTGGGATAAAAAGCATGCGTGACCACAGCCAGATAACTTTATTATTTTATGTAGAGATGGGGTCTCACTATGCTGCCCAGGCTGCTCCCAAACTCCTGAGCTGATTCGATCCTCCTGCCTTAGCCTCCCAAAGTGCTGGGATTACAGGTGTGAGCCACCATGGCTAGCCCAGGACACGTTTCTTGAGAGACACAGATATCTTTTGTTCCTGTGTAGTAAGAAACCAAAGTTATAAGCTTATACTTATGTTCAGCAATTAGTGTTTCTGTGCTATATCTTATTTGGAAATGATCTAGATATTCAACAAATAACCATATTTTAATTTAACTTAGTATAACTTTAAGGTTTTAAGTTACCAAAAAGATTTTGGATTTTTTTTTTTTTTTTTTTTTTTTTTTTTAGACAGAGTCTCAGTCTGATCGCCCAGGCTGGAGTGCAGTGGCCCGATCTCAGGTCACTGCAACTTCTGCCTCCCAGGTTCAAACGATTCTCCTGACTCCTGACTCAGCCTCCTGAGTAACTGGGATTACAGGTGCCTGCCACCACACCTGTCTAATTTTTGTATTTTCAGTAGAGACCAGGTTTCACCATGTTGGCCAGGCTGGTCTCAAACTCCTGACCTCAGGTGATCCACCCACCTCAGCCTCCCAAAGTGCTGGGATTACAGGCATGAGCCACTGCTCCTGGCCGAGAATTATTATTATTATTATTACTGAGACAAGGTCTCAATAATAGTGGGAGTTGGCTGGAGTGCAGAGCACAGTCATGGCTCACTGTAGCATTGAACTCCTGGAAATTATTTTCAAGTAGACATATTTCATAAAATATAATCATTATTTAAATCGTATGTCTAGTAATGAGTCAAAAATTAAAATTAAAATAATAAGAAGTTATTTGTAGCTGGGCACAGTGGCTCCCGCCTATAATCCCAGTACTTTGGGAGGCCAGGACAGGAGAATTGCTTGAGGACCAGAATTTGAGACCAGCCTGGGCATCACAGCAAGACTCTGCTGTACAATACAATTTTTCTAAAAATTAGCCAGGCATTGTGGTACACGCCTATAGTCCCAGCTACTCAGGATACTGTGGCGAGAGGAGTTCAAGGCTGCAGTGAGCTAGTCCCCCTACTGTTCTTCAGCCCAGACAACAGAGCAACACCCAGTCTCAAAAAATAACTGATTTATAGTTTTTCCCACTTCCACTTATGTAAGTTTAGTGTGTTTAACAATTATATTTGAATTGTGAAAACTTTATGAAACATTATTAGACAAAGCTAATCATTATCTTAAATTTTATTTTGCTGGCAATTTTTATGACATACATATTAGGCAAATATCAAACATTATTGAAGTAAAGCACCTAAAATGTTAAACATTCAACACTTTATTAAAGCTCAGATGGACATACTAGGGGTTGTTCTAGTTAATACCTCAGATACTTTTATTTCTGAGTCTGGCTCTGTTGCCCAGGCTGGAATGCAGTAGCGCTATGTCAGCTCACTGCAACCTCCGACTCCCGGGTTCCAGTGATTCTCCTGCCTCAGCCTCCCAAGTAGCTGGGATTATAGGTGCATGCCACCATACCTGGCTGATTTTTAAAAATATTTTTAGTTTTTAAAATTTTTTTTTTATTTTTTATTTTTTTAAAGAATAAAGAAGGCCGGGCGCGGTGGCTCAAGCCTGTAATCCCAGCACTTTGGGAGGCCGAGGCGGGTGGATCACGAGGTCGAGAGATCGAGACCATCCTGGTCAACATGGTGAAACCCCGTCTCTACTAAAGGTGCAAAAAATTAGCTGGGCATGGTGGCGTGTGCCTGTAATCCCAGCTACTTAGGAGGCTGAGGCAGGAGAATTGCCTGAGCCCAGGAGGTGAGCCGAGATCGCGCCATTGCACTCCAGCCTGGGTAACAAGAGCGAAACTCCGTCTCAAAAAAAAAAAAAAAAAAAAAAGAATAAAGAAGAGGAAGAAAGAAAAAGAGGAAGAAGGAGAGAGGATGGGGGTATTGCTTTATTGCCCGGGCTAGAATGCAGTCTAAATATGGGTATGCCTATAATTGTCCTTAATAATGGAGACATGAAAGAAAATGAGGGAAGAGAATAGCAAACAAGGAGCCAACCAAGATTTCTTTTAAACTTCTAAGTTGATATGATGTGGTACTGATAAGAGTGTATATTTTGTATATTTAAAGTGCAGAGTTCTATAAATGTTAATTACATTTACTTGTTCCAGATCTGAGTTCGAGTCCTGAATATCGTTGTTAATTTTCTGTCTCATTGATCTGTCTAATATTAATGTTGAAGTCTCCCACTATTATTATGTGGGAGTCTAAGTCTCTTTAGAAGTCTTGTATGTCTGCGTATTCCTGTATTGGGTGCGTATATATTTAGGATCTTTAGCTCTTGTTGTTGCATTGATCCTTTTATCATTATATAATGTCCTTCTTTGCTTCTTTTGATCTTTGTTGCTTAATTGTAACTTCTGCTTTTTATTTATTTATTTTAGCTCTCTGTTTGGTTGGTAAATCTTTCTCCATCCCTTGTTTGGAGTCTTTGTGTATCCTCGAATGTGAGATGGATCTGGATGCAGCATACTGATGGGTTTTAGTTTTTTATTCAAATTGCCTGTCTTTGGATTGGGGGATTTAGTCAATTTAAATTTAGAATTAATAATAATATATGTGAGTTTAATACTGCCATTAGCTGACTATTTTGTCCATTAGTTGATGTAAATTCTTCATTATATTGATGCTCTTTTTGATAATTTTTTTAGAAAGGCTGATACTGTTTGTTCCTTTCATATGTGTAGTGGTTCTTTCAGAAGCTCTTGTAAAGCAGGCCTGGTGGTGATGAAATCTCTGAGTGCTTGCTTATTCACAAAAAACTTTATTTTTCCTTCACATGTGAAGCTTAGTTTGGCTGGATGTGAAATTCTGGGTTGAAAGTTCTTTTCTTTAAGGATGTTGAATATTGGCCCCCACTCTCTTCTGGCTTGTAGGGTTTCTGCTGAGAGATCTGCTGTAAGTCTGATAGGCTTCCCTTTATGGGTAACCTGACCTTTCTCTCTGGCTGCCCTTAGTATTTTCTCCTTCATTTCAACCCTGGTGAATCTGACGATTATGTGCCTTGGAGTTGCTCTTCTTGAGGAATATCTCTGTGGTGTTCTCTGTATTACCTGGAGTTGAATATTATCCTGCCTTACTAGGCTGGGAAAATTTTCCTGAATAATGTCCTGAAGCGTATTTTCCAGCTTGGATTCGTTCTCTTCGTCACATTCAGGTACACCGATCAAGCGTAGATTAGGTCTTTTCACATAGTCCCATATTTCTTGGAGACTTTGCTCGTTCCTTTTTATCCTATTTTCTCTAATCTTGTCTTCTTGTTTTATTTCATTGAGTTGGTCTTCGACCTCTGATATCCTTTCTTCTGCTTGATCAATTCGGCTGTTAAAACTTGTGCATACTTCACGAAGTTCTCCTATTGTGTTTTTCAGCTCCATCAATTCACTTATATTCCTCTCTAAATTGTGTATTCTTGTTAACATTTCGTCAAATCTTTTTTCAAAGTTCTTAGTTGCTTTAGATTGGGTTAAAACAAGTTCTTTTAATTCACAAAAGTTTCTCATTATCCACATTTTGAAGCCTGCTTCTGTAATTGGAACGCACTCGTTCTCCATCAAGCCTTGTTCCGTTGCTGATGAGGAACTGTGATCCCCCGCTGAGGGAGAGGCGTTCTGATCTTGGGCATTCTCAGCCTTTTTTGGCCGTTTTCCTCCCTTCGTTATAAATTTATCCATCTGTGGTCTTTGAATTCACCGTCTTTGTAATTAGGTTTCTGAGTGGACGTCCAACTTACTGATTCTCAGCGCCGAAATCTGAGCAACCCACTGCACCGACCAAATCAGCGGCGTTAAGATTGATGGTGCTTTTCCGACTCTGCACCAAGAACCGTCGCTCCAAGGCGCCAGCAAAACCGCCTCGCCGGTCACAAGAGTCGCGCTGGCGACCCGTGGGGCTCCTCCGCTGGGAATCTCCTGGTGCGTGAGCAACAAGAATTCATGTGAAGGTGTGGCGTCCTCTCGTTCTTTGCGCTTTCAGTGGGAGCTACAATCCCGAGCTGTTAGTGATCAGCCATCTTGGATCTCTCTCTTTAAAAATATTTTTATGCCGGGCACGGTGGCTCAAGCCTGTAATCCCAGCACTTTGGGAGGCCGAGGCGGGTGGATCACGAGGTCAAGAGATCGAGATCATCCCGGTCAACATGGTGAAACTCCGTCTCTACTAAAAATACAAAAAATAGCTGGGCATGGTGGCGCGTGCCTGTAATCCCAGCTACTCAGGAGGCTGAGGCAGGAGAATTGCCTGAACCCAGGAGGCGGAGGTTGCGGTGAGCCGAGATCATGTCATTGCACTCCAGCCTGGGTAACAAGAGTGAAACTCCGTCTCAAAAAAAAAAAAACAAATAAATTTGCTGAGCAGTTAGGGCCAAGTTTTGAGGAGGGTAGGTTTAAGTCAGGGGCCCAGATATCTGAAAGATCTTCTGGGGGATCAGGGACAGGAACTTAGAGGTTGAGTGGAACACAGGTGGGTGAAGAAGGTGGGTGAAGAAGGAGAATTTACAGAGGGTACGGATTTTTAACTTTTTTTCTACATCTAATTTCTGTTCTTTAATCTTGAGGAAGATTAAATGAAGTCCCTAAAGCTAGCCATTATACATATGTATATACATACATATATATATATATATATATATATATATATATATTTTTTTTTTTTTTTTTTTTTGAGACTGGATCTTGCTCTGTGGCCCAGGCTGGAGTGCAGTGGTGGGATCTCAGCTCACTGCAACCTCTGCCTCCCAGATTCAAGCGATTCTTCTGACTCAGCCTCCTGAAAAGCCGGGACTATAGGCTCGTGACACCACACCCAGCTAATTTTTGTATTTTTAGTAGAGATGGGGGTTTCTCTATATTGGCCAGACTGGTCTCGAACTCCTGACTCCTGATCCGCCCCTCTCAGCCTCCCAGAGTGTTGGGATTACAGTCGTGAGCCACTGTGCCCAGCCCATTATATTTCTTTGTGTCTTCTTTTTAATTTGATCTTTCTCTGTTTACCAATAGGACAGTTTTTTAAGATGAAAGCACTTTTTTTTTTTTTTAGTTTAGAGATAGAGTTCTCGCTGGGTCACCCAGGCTGGAGTGCAGGCGGGATCATAGCTCACTGAAGCCTCAACCTCCTGAGCTCGAGTGATCCTCGCATCTTGGTTTCCCACAGTGTTGAGATTGCAGGTGTGAGCCACCACACCTGCCAATAGCACTCTTAAAAATACTTGTAGAGGCCGGACGTGGTGGCTCACAACTGTAATCCAAGCACTTTGGAGGTCAAGGCGGGCGGGTCACCTGAAGTCGGGGGTTCAAGACCAGCCTGACCAACATGGTGAAACCCTGTCTTTAAAAATAAATAATAAATAAAAATACTTGTAGATTCAAAAGTCTAAATCTTCAATGTTATCTCTACTTTGTGACTCAAAACCAACAAGCCTTTTTATGGCTTAAAATCTGTATGCCTTTTCTGGCTTAACCACAGACACAGAAGAACATCGCAAACAGTCTGGAGAAGATGCAATCCCCCTCCAGCTCCAGAGATTTTTCTCAGGATAGCCTAAGCAAGCACAGATCCTAATTGTTATCAAGACAATGAAAGCTGAGACAAGTGGCACAAACTCCTCGGAGAGCTGGAAGCGTTGCACAGAGACACCGTGTCTCTGATTCCTGGGCAGCTGGCTAGCAGCCTAGTAACGACTTATCCCCCCAACCCTTCCGGCTGGCAGAAACCGAAGAGAGTATTTTCACTGGTCACAGAGCCATGTTCTCAATACATAAAATGAGATGAAAGGAGAATCTTATTATTTTCTTCCTCATGATGAACCACACAAAAGCGAGAGACATGGAAAACAAGCCTTTTTCCTGGGAGGCTATGGGTCAACAGCCATTGTATATGCAGAGCCAAATATCAAATTCAGAAGTGTGAAATCATCAAATAATTTTTTTTCCTTTTTTCTTTTCTTTTCTTTCTTTTTTTTTTTTTTTTTTGAGACAAGGTCTCCCTCTGTCACCCAGGCTGGAGTGCAGTACTGCAATCATGGCTCACTGCAGCCTCAAACTCCCAGGCTCAAGCAATCCTCCTGCCTCAGCCTCCTAACTAACCGTGACCACAGGTACCTGCAACCACACTGGGCTAATTTTTGCATATTTAGTAGAGACGGGGTTTTGCCATGTTGGCCAGGCTGGTTTCGAACGCCTTTCCTAAAGTTATCCAGCCACCCCGGCCCCCTGAAGTGCTGGGATTACAGGCGGGAGCCACCTGTTGGAACTTTACATTATTCCGAGCCTTGGGAGGAATGTGGCCATGTGGTCTGAGGCATGGAGCCTGCAGTTGCAACATCTGCTTTTTCCTGTAAATGGTTAGAAATGACTGAGCAGCATCAGATGTAAGATGTCCTCGAGGAGGGAGTCTTCTCCCGGAATGTTGAAAAAATTTTCCTTGGAATGTAGCAAGCTGTACTAATCAAATCTAACATACTGGATTTGTACAGAAGATGTTGCAATACTGCTGACGCTGCTTCTGCCTCTATGAGTGAAGCCTTAGCTTCTCCACTTTGGAGCAATGATCTCAGCCTTTCGGAAGCTGTTTCCTGGGTGTCCATCCTGGAGCTTTGCACTAGAATAAAAATCATATTTCTTTTTTTTTTGTTTTTTGGTTTTTGGGTTTTTTTTGTCTTTGTTTTTGTTTTTTTGTTTTTGTTTTTTTTTGAGACTAAGTCTCACTCTGTCACGCAGACTTGAGTGCAGTGATGCAATGATAGCTCACTGTAGCCTCAAACTCCTGGGCTCAAGTGATCCTCCCACCTTGGCCTCCCAAAGTGCTGGGATTACAAGGATGAGCCAATGTGCCTAGCTGGTATTTTCTGAATCTCATCATTTAAGGTTGACACAAGAGTCACAACTCAAAGAATCAATTCTTACAAGTGGTTGTCTCCTGCCAGTCTGAATTTGGAAAGAGACAAGGACAAATTTTACCCTCCTCTTTTAACCAGGGACTACAGACAGAGATCCTGGAGAGTTCACTTGGGTAAAAACTCCTACCTTCTGCCAGCTTTTATTTCTTCTCCCAGGATCCCATCTTCAGGCTTGAGAGGATCCCATCCTTGTCACCAGAAACCGTAGGGGTGGCAACACTCTATCCCCAGAGTCTCAGCTGAGCCCAAGAATCAAATTGACACAGGGCAGGTTAACAGGAGAAAAGCATACACATTTATTTATATGCTATTCTACCTCTGATTTCTGTTCTTTAATCTTGCTAACAGAGTCCCTAAGGCTAGCCATTATATTTATTTATAAATGAGGGATGCTGGATCAGGCTCAGTGTAATCCCAGCACTTTGGGAGGCCAAGATGGGCAGATCATGAGGTCAGGAATTCGAGACCAGCCTGGCCAACATAATGAAACCCCGTCTCAACCAAAAATACAAAAAATTAGCCAGACGTGGTGGCTGGCACCTATAATCTCAGCTACTTGGGAGGCTGAGGCAGGAGAATCACTTAAACCCGGGAGGCGGAGGTTGCAGTGAGGTGAGATCACACCATTGCACTCTAGCCCGGGCAACAGTGAGAGACGCCATCTCAAAAAAATAAAAATAAATAAACAAACAAATAAATGAATAAATAAGGGGTGCTGGAGTGCAGTGGTGAGATCATAGCTCACTGCAGCCTCAGACTCCTGGGCTCAAGCTATCCTCCTACCTCAGGCTCTCAAGTAGCTGGGACTACAGGCACATGCCACCCACCCTGCCAATCTAATTAAAAAATTTGTTGAATCAGGGTCTCACTATATTGCCCAGGCTGGTCTTGAACTCCTGGACTCAAGCAAACCCCATCTCAGCCTCCCAAAGCACTGGGATTCCAGGAGTGAGCCACCACACTCAGTCCCACAAATTTATTACAAGTTTTTTTACATGGCTTGTGAGCCCTCATAAGAACATGAAGTCCCAAAGAAGCAGTTAGAGTTTATTGCTTATATACTGAATTGGACAAAGAATAATAAGTTATAAAAAAGCAACTAAATTATGTGGGAAGGCTTAAAAGATAAGAGTGTTTTAACAAGGTCTGTACAGAATTCTCTCATTTCAACTTCTCATCCTTGAGGATAAGAATGTTGTATCTTTCACATGACAACTTTGTCTCCTGCATTTCAGAAATAGCACAGGCCAAGTGGGGTGGCTCACACTTGGAGGGGTGGCTCCCAGCACACTGGGGAGGCTGAGGTGGGTGGATCACTTGAGGAAATGAATTCGAGACCATCCTGGCCAATATGGCAAAACCCCATCTCTACTAAAAATACAAAAATTAGCTCACACCTGCAGTCCCAGCTATTTGGGAGGCTGAGACATGAAAATCACTTGAACTCAGGAGATAGAGGCTGCAGTGAGCCGAGGTCACACCACTTCACTCCAGCCTGGGTGACAGAGCAAGAATCTGTCTCAAAAATAAAAATAAAATTAAAATGAGCTGTCGAGCCATGAAAAGCCATAGAGGAATCTCAAATGCTATTAAGGGGAAAAGCCAGCCTGAATGGGTTATATACTCTATAATCTCAACTATATAACATTCTGCAAAAGTAAGACTAGACTATGAAGACAGGAGAAAGATCGGTGGTTGCCAGGTGTTAGCAGGGAGGGATAGGCAGAGCACAGAGGGTAATGAAACTTTAGGGCAATGAAACTACTCTGTGTGATACAATAATGGTGTGTATATGTGTCATTACACATTTGTCTAAGCCCATAGAATGTCCAACCAGAA